CTCTCTCTCTCTCTCTCTCTCTCTCTCTCTCTCTCTCTCTCTCTCTCGTGCAAAGCATTAACCGAGACAGACGGAGGATTAATTAACGGATTCCGTCGTATATTGCTTAGCAACTTTAATAGCCACAAGTTAAGTGTAATGAATGGAAATATAATAAAAGTCATCCATTTACTTAATAAAGTACAGAATAAATAACGTAAACAACTTATAAGGCGAACTTTCAACTAATCGTATCATCATTGCCCAGGTCTGTATAACAGCTAACAGTTCCGCAGAGATCTGATAATGGTTAATCTCCTAAGGGGCCCGAAGATTAAAGAAATATTTTTGGAAAAAGCACCTCACCAATTTTGAAGAATTTTCCCCGGCTGTAGAGAATTGTTCCTTATAGCGCAAGTCATAGTTTCTCCTTCGTGCACTTTTTGCTATTTTTCTTCCGAGTTGTCGTTAACCGATCGTCCACTTGACCAGAAGAAAAAGAGAATAAACTTTAAAAAATTTTAAAACTTTTAGAAATGTCAAGATGATTGGAAAGAAGATTTGAAAGAGTGGAAGTAGATAGATCACCAGAACAAAGACACTATGATGCAGAAAAAATTCCTTCAACTAGCTGAACCTGAGCAAATCTTTTTCGTTCCTAAGAGAATCTTTAATCAACTTTTACAAAGGTGTCTGTCCGCTTGATAGAGAAAATATTGAAAAGAAAACGCAAATATGATTGTTTTAGTCATCTAAGGCGTAAAAAAGCATACCCACGTTCCTTTCTAAAATGAGTAGACCCTTTCTAAATTTTGTTATATTAAGTGCTTCCCTAGTTTGCTAAAAATATACCTATGTTCCTTTCTAAGATGAGTAGACCATTTTTAAGTGTATTACATACATAAACAAATGTTTCTCTAATTTGCAGTAAGTTTTTGATAGAATATTTTGCCGTAATTTGCATCAAAAATGTTCGCAATTCCGAGCTTATGCACAAGTACAAAGAACTACGTACAGTCACGTTTGATATTTACGAAAATTCCATTTTTTTAATATTACATTTTATGTTATGCAACATTTTACATAATTTCACGAATATTCATTTTCCGTTAACCTTTTTAGGATATATTTATACATATACATATATATATATATAGAGAGAGAGAGAGAGAGAGAGAGAGAAAGATTTATTTATTTACGTGCAGGTACTAAATGAGTACGTTTTTATGATGGTATTTGTATGTTTGTATATGCGTACATATACATATATACATACTTTTAATCTGAGTGATATTAATCTTCTCATTTCGTGGTATCTTTCGGTAACTTACGCCTTTAAGAGTTCATTTCCTTGCTGCCGTTGACATTTATAGTTAATTAACTAATGGATGTAAAGATACGAGAAGTAAATCTATTACGCCGCGATATAGTTAGTTATATCATAAATGAGAAGTAAATATATTTAAATTTTGATCAATTTAATTACAAAGTCATTGCAACTAAAATTATAATGAAGAGAACTGTACACCTCTTCGAGTGAATTGCAAATTCTCATTAATGCGTTGGTGGTGATATTTACAGACGTACGACAAATGACAAAATACTATACATAGTGATAGTGCGCTTCGATTATATTAATGTTTTTTACTCCACAATTATTGTATCTATTAAAATTAGTTTTCACATATGCTTCTCGATGTTTTTTTCAAGCAATTTTTTATTTCATTGCATCTACATATATGTGATGATCAACACAAAAATATAAATAGAAATGCAGCGATTATCAAGATACCCTACGTAGCAATTGCATTGAAAGTTGAAATAAAACTGATGCGCGGCAAATTCGGCGTTGAATATCTAGTTGTATTTCATATATTGTATTGTGATCTTTATAAACATCCACTCATTAATCAGCTTTAGAAAATGCCTTTAAAACCGACATCTTCGTCATAAGAATCGGATAGATCAAGCTCGGCCGATGATTGCTCTTGCTTTATAATGACATCAAAAGGTGTTTGAATTTTCCAAACAATCAGTTGTCTATCGCAACCAGCAGAAGCGAAACGCGAACCGTCATTATTGAAAGCCACTGCAGTAACTCCACCAATGTGACCTGTAAGCGTGTATATAGGCTTGCCCTTTAACAAATCCAAAATTTTTACTGTTGCATCATCACTTCCAGTAAGCAAAAAATTGCCGCTAGGATGAAAAGCCAAATCATTAACGGGCTCGCTATGCACTTGATAGAGCTGAACGAGCTCTTGAGCAACCAAATCGAATACGTTTACCTGGCAGCAACTTAAAGCCACAGCCACGATATTACCGTTTGGATGCCAAGCCAATTGTCGCCCCATACCGCGCTCTTCTGTCAGACACCAAACGCATTCGCCCGATTTTATATCAAATATACGCAATGACTTATCATCGCCGCAAGATGCAACCAACTGACCGTTAGGACTAAATTTAGCCGAGCTTACCAAACCTTCATAGCTAGCGAAAGAAGTGATGCATTTTTTTTGATCGACGTGCCATAGTTTCACTGATTTATCGTCCGAGGCCGTTACCACAGTGGCAGGATCGATAGGATGAAAGTCGACCGAACGTACGGGTTGGTCATTGAGTAAAAATTGTTGGCAAATACAATTTTCTTTAGGCTCCCAAATGTTAACAATGCCGTCTTGAGAACAAGAGGCAATGAAATTCGAATTCGGAGACCAGCTAATGCCGTTCACACTGTCCGCATGTTCCGTGAAGCAAAGACAACGGATGGGTTGCTTTATATCCCATAAAACGACAGTAGAATCTGCCGAACTGGTAGCAATTGTGCTGTCGTCCGGACTGAACCGTACTTGGGTTACCGGTTTTGTATGACCCACAAAGTACCTTTCTAGATAAGGATCTCCATTTCCCTCGGAATTCATGTTTTTTTTTTTCGCTTTTTTTTCTCTTTTTTTTTATTATATTTTCCTTTTGTCAATTATTTGAATATTCTTTTCAAAAATTCTATCAATTTGATTGTGGCAATATGAAGTCTGTCAGTGCGTAATTACAGTGATTACAGAGTGAATAAAAGAAAATTTTTACTATATGTTTTCCATATGCACTCTATTAATTGAGGTAAATACGAATGTTTTGATCTTCTGAAAAGATAACTTTTTCCGTGATAATCAATTCGGGAAGAATATCCAGCGCTTAATTAGATGCATGACGAAACTCTTGTACAGCGGCCTTGTAAGACAAAAGACACATTCAAGTATTAATTATGGACATTGAAAGCTCGAGTTTCGCATCTGATCCAATAGTTATTTTCCTTGATATATTATAAGAGAAGAGTTTTTCATCACCTCTTACCAGACAATATCCGATCTCAATAAACATGAGACATTCTAAACAAAGGAAGCAGCAGAAAGTCTACAGTCGATTTTCCTCTGATCCTTACATAAGAAACTTTTTAGACACACTGCAAAAACTATTCAATCGTTCAGGGAAACTACGAAAAAATTCATATCGTGATCACCGGATCCTACAATGGGATTTCTTGCGTAGACTTAACAAACTTAACATAGCTTTTGCATTTCGATGAGAAATTCCGACTGCAACGCATTCTGGTTAATGTTTGGATGTTATCGTCTAAGTTCTTAAACCACTTGGAGTATAGGAATGCACTACGGAAAACACTAAACACTAAGTGTCTCTGAAATTCTTCCATCTTCGAAGTCTGAAAGCTTTCGATTAAATTCCATGGAACTTTTATTAAACTTTAACTTTGCCTTCAAACATTCTGATGAAAATCTCCCATTACTCTAGTAAAGATGACCGACCAGTGAAGGGTTTCTACAAAAATTCTTCTTTTCTTTTCTTTTTCTCTTGCGTTTCAAACACAATTTTTGAGATATTTTTTTGGTAAAATTTGGTACAATGATATTGGCTCTACATCGAAAGCTATTGAGATTGAGCTCCGATCCAATCACCGTTTCAACCATCTCCCGTGCAACGCCTTATTGCGAAAAGCCGTTACATCAGTAAATGTATTAAGCGAAGTGATACAAGGTATTTAATGGGAAGAATTCGTGGCCCACTATAGTGATTTTGCTCGTTTATGGTCATACCCACCATCGAAGTATGAGAATTGTATGAGGATTTTGTCAAAACGTTTGCAACGCGCAGAGAGAAGCCTCAGTGGTCCAAAAAAGTGTATATATTCTTGATCGATCTCAAATACTGAATCGATTTAAACATGTCCATCTGTCCTTTGATTCGTGAAACGATGTTATCGATTGCAAATTTGGTAGAGATATTGAAAGTTCTTGCGCGCGGGATCATATCCTGATAAACATGCAACGGCTTCTGGTTTACGAAAAGTGGGAACTATGGTTGTGTAGCTGTTATTTAGTCTTAAGCCATTCACTATTTGCTATAAGTTGTAGTTAAGTTAGGTTATGTTCTATGCTCCTTCGAGAAAAGATATATAATTTTGGGGTGAACATTACTTTCTGATACCTACTGATACGATAACAACCAAATAACTTTTACTCTCAGTAAACTTTTAATTTTGCTCAATTGTCGTATTTCATTTTTATTTATTTATTTATTTATTCATTTTTTTTTTTTTTTTGTTGAAAAACAAACATTTTGTTGCGATAAACGTTTTCTGCAAAACTTATTACCCCTATCTGGCAAAAATAGATAAACATAAGCTTAAAACCGAAACCAAACTTTGTATCCTTATCTTTACTTAGGATTTCAATTAGACATTTTCAAATAGTTTTACGGATATATATATAACTTTTCCTTATTAATATTTTGCTTACGATTTTGTTTAATAAACAATTTAAAGGCAATAATTAAATATTTGATAAGAAAAAATGATAATTCAAAGATTGCCACCAACGAAACGCCCATAACTATAGAGAGTATATTGCCGACGGTACCTATAAAACAAAAAACAGAAAACAAAAAAAAAAAAAAAAAAAATTAAATATAATAATTAAATTTTATTATTATTAATATAATAAATGAATTATTCAAACTTACTAAATGCCTCCACCCAAGTATTTCGAAGAACTCGTCTATAATACAAAGCAGTAGATTTACCAAAATAAACATGCAGCACCGACATACCATTAATATCCAGATTATAATCATATCTTTTTATGGCCGAGAGAATACACGAAGGATACAAATGTATGTTAATAAGTAAGGAAGTAAGTAAGTAAGTAAGTAAAAGATGTGTTGGAAAATTAAAATTATTATTTATTCGTTAGCTTACTGTGAATTTTCTGGTAACCAAAAGCGATCCGTTGGCAATGACATCATTGAGACTTGATATTGAATATCATTACATGACGGCATACACTGAGGACAATATAAAGCTTCTTCTGCCTCACTTTCTAAACCTGGCACATTAGTGACAGTTTGTGTAAGAACGCCATTACGCCATTTAACTGGAAAATTATTTCAATAATAATAAGAAATTCTAAACATGTATAGCATAAAGAGCATAAAGAAACGGGTAAAAAGCAAAAAAAAAAAAAAAAGATATTTATACGATGGCATGATTACCATCGATTTGCATATATATAAGCAAATAAATGTAACGAATTTTAATAGTAGTCGTATATAAATTCAGAATCGTCCAATTAATAGCTTTGCGGGCCAAATTCTTCCTTTGCAAGCAAAAACTTCTCCTCCTCGATTAAGAAGATTTTTATGCTAATATTTTTAATAATTTTTTACAATTTTCTTGATCTGTTTATCAAAAAAAAAAAAAAATCTGTATATATACATATTAACAAATTCGAAGACAAGTAGCCGGGAATAGGAGGATAACTTTTTCAACACTTTTCGTAAAATATAATGTGTGCACGTGGCAATCCGCAAATGCATCTTCTCTTTTCTTTTTTGACGTCAAAAGAGCGAATTATTCGACTGAAAGCTTCATTTAATGGATATTCTAGCTTCTTCTTGGACGAGCATTGAAGCAGACAAGACTTCTGCCGGGTGACAGAGAGAATACGTGAATGGAGTATTGACAATAAACTTCGAGAGCCCTAGTAAACAGACACCGCACTGAGGAAGTTCGCAAAAGCGCAGTTAGTTCATAACGATGTGCGAAAAGCGAATGGAATTGTAGAAGAAGCCCCACCTTAATTCCATTTTTTCTCATATTCCATTGCACTAGAATCTAACGACTTCGGTTGGAATACCCAACTTAATGTTGCATCAGGATCTCGAGGATACGTTCTTGTAACATTTTGCAATCTGTTCCCACAAAATATACTCTGTGTCTGATTAAGGAATCCGTGTATCGCGACCAAGCGAGTCCATGCCAAATTCGGAGGGGTTTAACTAAAAACTGGTACTTATTATCTATCCAAATGGCTACGACTTGATTCGTATCTCATATAAAATGTGCGTTCAATCAGCGCCTTCTTCGCTACGACACAAGTCCCCAAACAGTCCTAACATAAGTTTAAATAAAAAAGATTTTTGAAAAAAAAAAAAAATATAAAAAATTTTCAATCCATGTCTTAGTCCACGTTGGCAGCAGTTGACAACTGGTACGAAAATACAAATTAGTAAGCATATTAAACGCATATAAGTAGACCGTTGTAATAATTGAATTTTTAAATTTGATCTGTGGAATTCGAATATTTGCCCACTTCCGATTTTCTATTTTTCCATCTTTGCGACTTTGAGGAAATTGTGCACAAGCATATTCATCCAATCATCATCAGGAGAGTCAGTAAGGACTTCACGTCCTTTAAAGACCTTAAAGTGTTCGCCTGCTCGCGAATATCGGAAATTTGTGGATGGGCGATATTACCAATGTTGCTAGGTCTCAATCGGCTTCTCCTTTCGGATACGAAAGGTAGCCTTTTCATCGCATCTATTGTGTACGTTGAATTCTCTTGCCTGTACTTGATCTTGCAAAGTACTTGATCTAATAACAATCACCCCTTTGCGTTTCTCTCACTAGCGGATACGTAGTGCTATACTAAAATATTGACAAATTTAAATATTGGTAATTATACTCGGAAGACAAAATGGGTATGAAATTTCTTAAATCCATTTTAAAAAATTTCCCATTAGAGAAAGAATCAAAGATGTTTCGAGGTATTATCAAGCGATATTAAAAGATTTGACTTAACTGACTTTAACATTTAAAAATTTTCATTAATTTACTCGAGGGTAAGTTAAGAGATTAACTAAGCATAATTAAATAGCATACATACAATTATAGCGATCCATACACGCGACATGTTTTAAAGTACAATAAACCACCCCGTCTTTATTGCCGAAATATTCTAAAGGCGTATAAAATGGTACACAATTGCACAAAGCTTTAATGCTCCGTATACGACATCTGGTTATACAATTAGCAAAACTGTAACTGTGATGTAACAGTAAATCCTTTTTCGGTGTTTCATCATTGAATAGACATTTACGCTATATATAAGCACAAGCAATAGAAAGGACGAAATGAAAACATTTTCATGAACATGAAAAAAAAAACAAAAAAAACAAAATTTCAATTATTTACATAAACAGAAGAAAATATACGCAACTTTTCACTGGTATTCATGACGCGCGCTTTAATCGCAACAAATGTCTCCTCATTATGCATCGGGAATACTTCAATTGCTTCACCGGAAGCAATATCGGGAAAATTACTAGCTTTATGTATAATAACCACATAGGCATCCATATTTAATAAGGATACGACATCGTTGACTTGAGAACTATTTAAGATAACAGTTAAACCGGCATCAGATCGACCAAAACGTTGACCATGTGAACGCTGACGATAGCTTGAAAAAAAAAAAAAATAATAATAATAATAATAATAATAATAATTTCTTTGAAATATTTATCCAAACAGTTTGAAGAAACAATACTTACACATTTGCTGTGTTGAATATACAACACGGACCATAGGCAGTTAAACCGGTTTGAAAATGATTTTTATGAAAGCAATCAATTTCTTTACCATCCAACCAGCACTTTACTAAAAACTCTTCACATTTCGGTGTTAGCAGCTGCATCGTCCTCAGCACATTGTAAAATGTATCGTTGTCCCATATGCCGTAGTTATCCAAAAACATTTGAAAATTGGAAAGTTCCTCGATATTATTTATACGTCCATATTTCGAATATAAACTACTAAAGTGAGCAATACGTCCCATAAAGTATTCCTTGCTGTTATTATAAACATCTTTTTGAGAACTGCAACCAAGCAAATAAAATTGTTAGCTTTAAGCTCTCTATGTATGATGAAAGCAAATGAAAACTTATAAGAGGCTTAGAAAAAAAATTTTTTCCATAAATACCGACGAAAGCCCTTCACATAGAACGATTAGAACGAGTTCATATAATCCAAAAATTATTGAATCCTTTAGAAGGACATAAATAATATATTTATCCGCCTGAGTGGCCGAAGGCGATGAATCTCGACTAGCAACTTAATGGTCCTGGGTTCGAGTGTCAAGTGCGGTAGACTTTTTAATAAAAGCCTATAACCTTAGATGCTAATGCTTGAAAAGTTTAGTCTTAGAATTTATTTCTCTGGCGAAATTAATAATAATAAGAATAATAATAATATATTGATTTCCTCGACTCGGTTCATTTTTTCTTTTCATTTGCTCTCATATAAGCTGTGCTGCACTGTCTAAACGTGAACGTTACGTGAACGTAAGGTGACTCCTAGGCTGGATGGAGAACTTTATCTTGATCAAAAAGTAAAGTCCTCACTTGATACATACATTTTTCTTTTATACTAATCGCATTTTTCTTCCGACACTGAGTAGGGTCACCCATATGGACAACACATTTTTATGAGTACTTACTATAGGATAACGCAAAAAAGACCTGCTTTTGCGATTTTTGAAAAAAAAGGTGCGGTCAACTTAAATTGCATTGTGGGCATGTCCTTTAAGCGATTACGCTCATTGCCTAGCTTTGCTCAAAAATCTCTCGCTTTCTGTAAAATATGACATCAATAGTTTCATATTTGCGGTTAGGAGAATGGTTATCATAGACATTACATAGACGGGACAGACGGACATGCTTAAATCGATTGAGAACTGTATGCTGCTCAAATATATAAATACTTTATGGCGTTCAAAAAAGTCTCCTTGCTCCTTGCTCCCCAGAAAACTATTTCGCAAAATCAATATACTCCTCGTTGGTGCGTTTTAGAAAAGTAATGCAACTTCTTTGCATCTTCTATGCATCGAATGGATCTTAGCTTGGCAATAGTACTAAAGAGCAACAAATCATATCTAAAGATCGTCCTTCCAAGCTAAGTCGAGTCCTCCATCATTTATAAGTTACTTCTTCTTTTTGAATATTTAGCGGGCGAAAAAGAGATGATTCATCGAGCCATATAAGAAAAAGGGCACAGTGTGAACACAAAGTTCTTTGTCTAGACCTTAATAAAATTGACCGTCAAGTTACTCTATTAGCTAACATTAGAAAGTCATGTTTGGTTGTTGACACTAGTATACGCCTCCACATCTCACCAGTGCTGCGTTCGCTTTTACAAATATTTTCATTGTCATTCCTTCTCTCGTCTCTCGTGGAACTATCCATATTATAAAAATATTAAAAGGAGACTAAAAGGTGACTCTTACATTCTTGGAATAGAACAAAAAGTGTGTGCTGGGTTATCGCGAACATGTTCATAATATGTTCTAATGTATTTTTCTTATTTATTTAAGCGACAATAAATTAAAAAAAAATTGATTTTTTTTTTTTTTTTTTTTTTTTTTTGCTGACACATAGGAATACTTAGCTTACAGTTCAATGGCGTAATTTTCGGCGGCTTGATATGAAATGCGATTATTGGAACATATGGAAATGGCCGGAAATGCAATTTTCTCCACTGGATATAGGGGATCATGCAAATTAATGGCAAAATACTGAGCAACAAAATAATCCCAAGTGAATGACAGAATTATTATCATTACCACAAAAGTTGTAATATGCAGGCATAACCAAATTAATCTGCAAAATGCAAGAATACAACAAAAACAAAAAACAAAAATTAAACCGACTACTCTTCATTCGCAGCAAAGAGTCTGTTGCGTAGCGTTCTAACCACACACACACACACACACACAGTATGCTCTACTTCTTCTTGTTGTTGTTGTTATTGTTGTAATTTAGTTGTACTCATGTGCAGGTTTTTGTTTTACTTACTTTTCATATAATAACAATTCACTGTCGAAAAGTTTGTTGTAGCCGTGCAGGGATATATTGGAAAATAAATCTGTCATATCCTGGCACAACCTGATGGCCCTTGATTGTGTATGTTCCGCTTGTTGTTGAGGATACTTTATCCACCATACAGCAGACGAAGTGGTTTTAATATCCACCATATAGGTTCCGGGAGTTAAAAGTAAAGTGAAAAAAACGAAAAAACAAAAAAAAACAAAAAAACAAATGCTATACACAATAGCGCGTCTATCAAATAAAAACAACAAAAAAAAAGAAAAAAAGAAGAAAATTACAGCGGATATGAATGAACGCACACAGGATGTACATGCATGTACTTGGATATGACCAGCGAGCTTATATGGACATATATGCATACATAAATACAAACATACATACATACATACATACATACATACACTTTATTTCAGCTCGTTTTACACAATGGTTACATCATTTTCCACAAACGCACTCATAGGTTCGTACATCCTGTTGTATATATATGTAGGACAACCGATAACATGCGTATTTGTTGTTATTATTATTATTATTTCTTTTTATTTATTTATTTATTTATTTATTTTTTTATTTTTTTTTTTTTGTTTTAACATCTTCTCCTTAATGTAACTACAAGTACACGTTGTTGCTGCTGTTGTTGTTGTTGTTGTTGTTGTTGGCACTCGGTTATATATTGTTTAAGTATAAATTGCAAGTTAAACGACAAGCTTACAATACAAAAATCGGTCACTGGTCTCCTGTCGTTGTTCACTGGTTCAGTGCTTATAACTGTTCTCGCTCCTTATACCGTTAACACACTTAATAAACTAACTTTTTCATTGCATTTAAATCCATCGAAAGTCAACTTGGTGTAACTCTGTCACTATTTAATAATTTTCAAAGTAACTACAATTTCCTTTAGGTATTAATTATAGGTTATAGGTTTTTTTTTTTTATTCTAACAATTACTTTGTTCTACTTTCAAAACAAGCATTTAATGTTTTTTTAAATACCTTACCAACTGTAACTGCTGAAAATTACTAACATTTGTGGCTTCGACCAGCAAGTTGTATTAACTTATTTGCGTGCGTAATATGTGTCCGTCGTAAATAGTTTTGTCGATGAAGCTTTTGGGAATTGCACGCATGGAAATGGACATATTCAGGCACAATTTCCCATAGAGCGATTTATTGGGAAACAAATTTTTGCGAACGAAACAGACAGTACTCATAGTACATCTATACATAGTACGTAATGCATACATAGTACATCATAGTAAATGTGCTCAACGAGAGATACTTTGGCTTAGGCTTTGAGAATTACTCAATAATTTCTTCATAAATGATTTTGATTAATTTTTTCTTTTCTCCTTTTTCCTTTTTTTTTAATAGCTTAAACACTTTAACACCCTTCTTGAAGTATCTTGGGCACTTTGTTGCACACTGATTTTCATGAAAATTAATCCTTAATAGAAATTTAAGATAAAAAAGGTCACTGTATCAAATTTGGACCACCCACGACTATTTTTACATCCTACCGTGTATGAATAGAAATTATTAATTAAATTTTTAGTTACTTGACGTATATGCTAGACAGAAGTGTTTCAGGGGGTTTTGCGCAGATGCCTGCCTGTAAGGCTTAACCCAGCGGCGCCCGCTGGCACACGGAGTGAGAATACGTCACTCATGCCCCACAGGGAGCAGGGAGGCTCCCTGCAGTTCCAGATCAAGGGCAAGTTCTCTAAGGGCCGTCCCAACAGTCAGGCAGAGGACCCACACTACGGGGATTCTGCTACAGCGAAAACTGCAGCCAGCAAATTCCCCGCAGCGGGGAACCTCTGGCCAACCTAACCCCCGTGGTACCTGACTTATTTAAAAAGTCTAAGGTCAGACTTTTGGCAGCATATGGCTACACACCAGTTAGACCCATACGTCTAGGACTCGTGGCTTAGTACACGCTAGACAATGGTAAGATCTTTCCTCGTCATTTAAAGCTTAACTCAAGACTTGAAATCGTACTATAGCTTGCGGTATCATGTAAACTAGACAGCCGAAAAATGTTTCGATCATAAAATTGCTGTCGAGTAACATAGTTAAGTTACGCTCGAGTTTACTCGATTTTGAATCAGCTATAAACCGACTTCGGATGAAAAAACCCCACCATGGGAAAACATCTAGAAAGCTGAGTGAAAAATCATAGCAGATATCAACTTAAGACTGAACAGTTTGTTTATTTGATAAGAAAAATTAATATTACTGAATTTGACCTACGTAGGTCCATTTTTGGATTCCCACATAAGGCATATAAGGCATAAAAAAAAGTTTCTATGGCAAAAAGGTATAATTTTGAATATTTTATGAGAATTTTATCCTTAGCAAATCAACCTTAGGAAATTTGGACCAAATAGATCTATTTTTTAGTAAGAGTAACTGGAAAATAATAAAATACTTGACAAGTAAATTAAGTTTACTAAATTTAGACCTCGTTGACGTTTGAGTAATGAGAGTTATCACGAAAATCATTTACATAAACGTAATGTGTGATTTTTTTCGCATTATTAATTAAGCAAAGTTGTATAGGGTCTCTAATGGCAGGTACTGCCTGACTAGAGCGGTCTTACTTGCATTAAAGTTTCAGCTAGAGCTAACCCATTGGAAATCTTAGAAGTAACAAATAAATTTCTCTGCAATCCACTACACGGAGATGATGAGACAGGACAGATAACCTACTAGGTTTTATAAATATTAAAAACGGGTCTTTTGCGATTTGTTTTATTCACTTTTATTAAATCTATATAAAATAATTTCGTTTAGATCTAATATTAAGCAATTTTAATTTAATAATCGCTAGTACACTATAAACAAAATATATTTTAGAGGATTTCCTATATATAAAAATGATATTAAAAATATATTCGCTATGTATGTTAAATGTTGACTAAAATAGAACTGAACTCATTAAAATTAATTCATAAACTGCAAAAAAGAAAGAAAAAAAAGTACAAAACATTAAAAATAATATGACTTTTCTGAATACAAGAAACACGGTAAAGAAAATAAAAATGAAATACTTCTTAACAAAAAATTCTATTTAAAGAATAACTCTCTGCATAGTTGGATTACCTTTTCAATTAGAAACTAAACTAAAAAAAAAAAAAAAAATTGCTTACGGTTTAGTCTTCAAAAACAAAATTTGAAAGCTTTAAATGCTGCATATTGTTGCGTGCTTCAAAATAAGCCGTATCCGTTGGATCATCAGGATTGGGTACAAAAGGCGGCTTCTCGTTTTCAATATTTTTCCATTGTATGGATGCAAAAAAAGGCATTTGTTGAACTTGCCTAGCAGAAGGTCGTTTCGCTGGATCCATAGTAAGCAAAAGATCGACAGCTTCCACAGCTTGAGGAGTCAAAGCTTCATCACCCTCCGGCCATTCAATATCTATTTTCAAAAAAAAGAACAACATTTTTTTTATCATAAATGCATTAACAATTAGATTTCGCATATGTGAAAACATACTTTTGCTTAGAATGTTTTCAAAGACTTTTTGAGGCGTTTCGTCATTGAATGGTGGTAGACCGGTCAAAAATTCGTAGAAACAAACACCCAGTGCCCACCAATCTACTGCAGCACAATGACCTTGCCTATATAAAAGAAGAAAAGAACAATTTAAGAACCTTTGCTATATATTTGATATAATTAAAAGTGAAAGTAAAAAGTTTATCATTGATTATTACCTCATTAATAATTCTGGAGCCAAATAATCGGGTGTACCTAGAATTCTTTCGCTCGATTGCCGAGTAGCACCACGTCTCACCGATTTTGGTGTTCTGAACGGTGTATTTAAATTTTTCGGTGTTTTCGGTAAGGAATTTGAATTCGAATTAATGGGAGACATGACAGAATCGTCATGAACCATTTTCAAATATTGAACACTTGATATACTTTTCTCTGCCAAAGGTTCGCGTTTTCGTGTTTCATTGGACAAGGGCAAAGCGAATCGTGTAGCTTTCAATTTACCCAAGAGACCACCATCACATCGTGGCACTTTTTGCGATGAAACCGGCGTTGAATTCACTACGCTGGTCACATTTTCAGTAATTATATGCGACATTTCATCATCGGAAAGGGAACGAACTTTAAGTACGCTCCGAAGCGGTGATTTAACTTTACGCTTTTTCGGTGTACTACTACCGATATCCAATATTTCAATTTCTTGCGTCAAGCCTGTACTCATAGAGCCATTAGTATCTCCTTCCAGACTATTTGAGTTTTCCGGCCGATTGACCATATTTATTTTACGTTTAAGACCTCTTAAAGAAGTGCTAAAGTGAAAGTAAATAAAAAACTTTTACATTGAATGTTTCCAAAAGAAAAAAATATATAAAAAAGAAAACAAAAGTAATAATGGAAAATAAAAACCTTAAAGTCTCCGGACGTTTAAAATTCCTGATTGTTTTGCGAAATGGTGAATGCATACGTATTCCACTGATTTCGTTCGTGTTGTTAATGTTATAGCTGAGATATTAAAATAATAAAATGAATGTATTAAGAATGCGAGAGGAACAGAAAAAGAAGAAGAGAGGGATAGAGAGAGAGAGAGAGAGAGAGAGAGAGCGGGAATAAGAAATGAGAAGAAGATTGAAAATTAAATAATAATAAAAAAGAAATATAAAGAAAAATAAAAGATGAACTAGCAATGGTGAATACAAGCCGCCTTCGAAGAGCTTAAAGCCATACAAAGCAAATATTAGATTAGATTGATAGAAGTGCATCGGAACAGGATCTAAAGCATTATTATACAGCTAAGTTCAGAATTCTAGGTGGTGATTTTTAAAAAAAAAACCCTTTTTTTATTTTTCAGTATTCTAGGATGGATTTTGAAAATTTGTCGGGAATAGTTTTACGAAGCCCTTGTGTTCGTCTGTTTTTCCGCTTGCTAGAAAGGCTAACACAGCGGCCTCCTCTGGCCTGAAAAGCAATCTAATGATTAATTGATACATTGAACATTGATTGAAAAAAAGTTTCCGAGTAAATTTTCTTTCTTTTTTTTTTTTTTTCAATATCACCAATCACTTAGCGGATGTCCCCTGTACCTGTAGCACGGTGAAGGTTATAAAGAAGTGGAGAAAGGGCAAGAAGAAAACGAATGACCACAACATGAATGAATGTGTGCTGAATCAGTGAATGTTATGTCTTTCCTGACTAAGCACCGAGTTATTTTTATTTTCTTACACCTTTAAGTTTACCTTTAAAGTTATTAGAAATATATATTCTAATCTAATAAATCGATTTTTAATCTCTAAAGCTGATAAAATATTCAAAAAAAAAAACGAAGAAAAAAATTTACTTCTAAATCCCAAGCACCTTTAAAGTCATTAGAAACATTGCTATGTTAACCTCTATTAAATGTTCTAAGTTAAACATCGCCATTACTATAATATACTACTAAAAATGTGATTAATCTACTCCCAAACTATGTTAGAGTTAATTAAAAATAAATAGTTGGCCGAAGAAATTAAGTAAATTTACCTTCTCGAGTAATCTGAGCTGCTTAAGTCATCCTTGGAATTGCACAAAATATCTGCCCTATCTATAGAAGATGATGTGGTTTCGTTGTTTAAGTTCGAATTCGAGTAATCGCTTTTGCGACTTGAAACACCAGAATCCTCTTGAGGTTTCAGCGAAGACCGTGTACGCTATTAATTTAAAAAATTGGAAAAGATTACTGTACCACCACAGTACTATTTCATCGTTCAACCTTAAACTTACCTCGTCGTTAGAACGTCGTCTTACCATACAAAATTCAATATTTTCCATTATACTTAAATGCCGGCAGCATAAATTTTCCTTGTCGCATATCGTATTACAATTACTGTCATATTTGCAGCCCTTTATAGGGGAAACAGGAAAAAAAAGATTTTATTAAATTACTATGATAGGAGGAAAGTTTTTTTTATCAAGCTTACATTGGAACAAATTTTAATCTCCACATTATTATCAATTTGTTCCGGAGATTTTGCCTGTGAACCATTGGATTTATTAAAAGAAGGTGAAAATTTACTCACATCAGAAGAACCACAAGTGTAATAAGTAGAATTGCTATCAATTAACTGAGAACGAAAGTAAAATTAATTAGAAACTCGCTTTAGAACAATCTTGGGGATCCATTACGCTAATAAACAATTTTTTAGTAATCATAAGTCAATTTAAAGGGCCACAGCTCTGCCTCTCTTATTACTTGAGAAGAGATCAGAAGCGAATACTTAATACCAAACTTTTCAAATCAAAATAAAAAACTTCGCAAACATCCCTTTAGTTGTGAAAATAGCAACACCACGACCTCTTGTACTGGGAGGCCTCGATATATGTTTATAATAAAGTTTCATTCAAAATTCCTATTATATGCCTGATCGCAACCCTTTCCTCCCTTATCGGCTTTCATTATCAAAGGCAAAGAATCAGACTGACGCATGTAAACAACTAAATTAATTCAAAATAATATTAAGTTGATCAAAAAAAATATCTATCTGAACGAAATACGAGCACAAATGAAAATATGAAATTATTACATACATTATTTGAAGCGGTATTGGAATTATTTGGCATAGAAACGTTGATTTCCTCCGCTGAAAGGAACGGTGAAACGCCGGAGATTTTACTATCATTTGTTTTCTCCGCCTCGTTTAAGGAAGTGTCGGCATCACTGTCCGATTCTATGGTCGTGTCTAAAAATTTAAAAAAAAAAAAAAATCAACAAATAAATATGGAAATAATTCGAGAAAGACATTCACTTACTATGCTTATTAACAATTTGTAACATTTGACAATTGCTAGTGCCAGTGCATTCCAGCTTCTTATCCGAACCGAATGATAAATGTGACGTTAATGACAAAAGTTGCCCTGGAGTGCGTGTATTAAAATTCGGCGAACAATTAATTAAATCCGAGATTTCTAAATCTAGTAAAAAGAACACCCCAAAGAAACTCCTTTAAATTTACGAACTTAGATTTTCAATACATTTTAACTTTACCTCCACGTCGCATTTCAATTTTACTTAAACCGAAATCGGTTAATTTAATATGACCTGTGGCCGATAGCAACATATTGTCTGGTTTAATATCACGGTGTACTATTCCATGTTCGTGTAAATATTGCAAAGCCAAAGTCACTTCGGCCACGTAGAAACGAGCAGCCGGCTCATCAAAATAACCGTACATAGCCAGCAGTGATTTTAAATCGCCACCCACCATATACTCCATAACGAGATAAACATAGGAAATCGATTGCAAAGAATAGAAAAGATTTACGCAAAAAGGGCTGCGTGACAAGGCCAAAGCATTACGTTCGGTGATTACTTGTGAGACCATATTTTTATTAATCATTTCAGATTTCCGCATCACTTTAATCGCATATAATTTATTATGATCGCTGCTTTTATAGCCCAGGAACACTTTTCCAAAAGCTCCACGACTAATAGGTTTAATAATGACGAAATCTTTAATTGTCGGCATCTGAAAATAGATAAGAAATATTAACGTTAAACTGGCTACAATAGCAGAAGAAAACCCATACTCTATACAAGGAGGTTTGTGGCACCTAACAATAAAATAGTTTTAATGACACATCAGATCGGCGGACAGACATGGCTAGCCTAAAAATTCAATAATTGTCGATCGGCAATTTATAATAACTATTATAGCCAGGTTTAGATGTACATCCGAATCCTACTGAGATGTAAAATTATCTAAGATTAGCAATGAATACTTCATCATATTATATAATTGAAACTTAATGATGAATACTTTGAATCAACTTCTCTTTCTCTTATCATCAACACTTAACGCTTAATGTCGGGAGATCGTTATCCGGTAAATCCGGGATTTGCCTTTCCGATCCTTGCAAATATCAATGTTACTCTGCAATAATATTTAACAGCTAGCTTCACACTCTCCTCGCTAATGCGTTGATTATTAAAATCTTAAACTTTCCTAGAATTATCCCAAGCTAATATAAGAAACTTTACCTTGGATGGAGACTATCCCCGCTCATGTTGAAAATATTAATTTAACAAGGTAGTGTTTAGTGTTTATTTTGGATTTTACCTTCGCAGAATAACTAAGATTCTCTGGTTTCGTGGTCAATTGGTTGATTTTATCCAACAATTTCTCCCCATCAATCATCATACTACTTTTCTTCGGCGTTATATATTCAATTGAGTGATTATGATAGTGAAGATTTGATTGAACACCATTCACAAACACCTCTCTTTCATCTTTTTCCATACTTAATAATTTTATTTCCAATTTTTTTTTTTTTTTGTTCTGCCCGCCTGATGAAATATTTCGCTCTATTGCTTTCAAATTTGTTATTTTCCCCTTAATTTTTAGTTTAGCTGTTAACTCTTCATTTCACTAATATTCTGTTGATGTTTATTTCATTGTAATTTTAATGCAAATGATAGTAACTTTCTAAAAAATTTATTGTGAAAAGCAACAAGAGTTTAAGTCTAGAACGTTAAAATAAATTAAATGTCAATGTTACCCCAATTATATATTTTGTCGTTTATTAGATATGATTATCAGGCAAGCAAAAATCGGCCATTTTTTTTTTAAACAAAAACAGAGATGTTAGATATGCGCTCTGACAAAAAAGAAAATATCTTTTTTTACATATTCAAGTAAATTTTCAGTTGTTAATTTGCTGAATAACAGAAGAAGAATAAGAAAGGTATCTCTTATTTCACTAAATAGAGACCAAATTCAGATTTTTACAGAAACATTTCTAAGTGTAATGCGATATAATAAACCAAAAAATATAATGCGGCACTAGAGCAAAATATGTATACATCATATGCGTGAATATATATATATATATATAAATGCATTTGTATTATTTATTATCATTATTATCAATATCAATTTTTAGATACTTAAATTATGAATTGAGATAATAATACAAAATTTTTTGTATAATATATATAAAAGAAGACCTTACATGGACGAACATACCCCTTAATATTTATCAACTGACGCGGCAACTCTGGTCATAAACAAAAGTGCCGCCAGACATTAGTTATTACTTTAAGGAAAAGTTCGTGGCGTTTTTACCAATAGATGGCTTTGAAGCCGCATAACCTTGGTAGCACTAATCCTATCAAGCCTTATCCTAAACATAATAGCACGAATGAAAAGTGACAATAATTAAGAAAAGAAACATTTATTTATTAAATCAGTTGCAGTTAGTTGCGCTTTAAAAATGAGCCAAAATTTTGAAAAAATAAGATATATTTTGCAATATCATTTTGATCAAAACGATAACGCTTCGCAAGCTTGTGAAAAAATTCGTGGCGTTTACGGTGAAGATGCTTTATCGAAATCAGCTGCGCGAAAATGGTTCGCTCGTTTTCGCTCTGGAAATTTGGATGTTAAGGACGCGCCGCGTTGTGGTCGACCAATCGTTGATAAAGTTGATGAAATTCTTCAAAAAATTCAAGAAGATCGACACGTTTCTTCTTATGATATCGCTGCGGAACTAAATATTAATCAGAAAACAGTTTTGAATCATTTGCATAAGGCTGGTTACAAAAAGATGCTCGACATTTGGGTGCCAAATGAATTAAAAACGAAAAATTTGATTAATCGAATTTCCATTTGCGAATCGTTGCTGAAACGCAACAAAATCGAGCCATTTTTGAAGAGGCTAATAGTAGGCGATGTTAAATGGCTTACTTATGATAATAACGAGCGGAAAAGATCGTGGTCTAAGATGGATGAAAGTGCACAATCGATACCAAAGCCAAGTAAACTAATGCTTTATGTTTGGTGGGATTGCAAGGGAATCGTATATTATGAATTGCTTCAATCTGATCAGACCGTTGATAATGCTCTCTACTGCGAACAACTAATGCGATTAAAGAACTCCATTGAAATCAAACGGCCAGAATTAATGAATAGCAAAGATATTGTTTATCACTATGACAGCGACCGACCGCAAACGTCCTTAATGACACGTCAAAAACTAAGAGAATTTGGCTGGGAAATTTTAATGCATCCGCCATATAGCCCGGATCTTGCCCCGTCTGACTATCATTTATTTCGCTCTTTGCAAAATTCCCTTAATGGCGTAAAGTTGACTTCAAGAGAAGCGTGTGAAAATCACTTGGTACAATTTTTTAACCAGAAATCTCAGAAGTTTTTCAATGATGGCATAATGATTTTACCAGAGAAATGGCAAAAGGTTATCGATGAAAATGGTGCATATTTGCTTTAATAAAATTCATTTAAAATATAAGAAGAAAAATATATTTGAATTTCCCGCCTTGAACTTTCTTTATCGATTATATATAAATATATAGTGTGCGTATATAGAATGTATGTAATGCAGTGCATCCATAGGCCGTGAAATGTATGATATTATTATGCAGGTAACGAGTTAGTGACTTTTGTAGCATTTGATACCTTGATGGCTTAGTCTTAACCTTCAATAAGTTTTTTATATTTCTGTCAATTTGTATCTCGCAGAGCGTGCGCGAATTTCCTATATTGCAAACGATACGCACTTTGTGTAATGCTTCTAGCACTGCGACAATTTTATCGGAAGAATCATCAGTGTGCAGTTAGCGTAAGCAGTAAATAGCTTTTGAGTTGAAAAGTACAACAAGTCTCGATAGGTTACGACAATTTGTCGGTTTATAGATCCATTTCCGCATCCGCATTTATCAAATGCAAAAATATTCTCTTCTTCCCGAAAGTGATGAAAAGTGTTTACCCAACCGATCCCATAAACATAGGGCGATTTTTGAAACGCCTCCGAAAGGTACGTCGATCTATGACTTATGCATTTCAATCAAATGGAACCTATCTTATAAAAATATATATAAAGGCTTTGAGAGACGTGTTACATTTCCGAAGTTTCCTGGCATTTTCTTATAGGAAAATTCTTGTTATATTCCTTGTTCAGTTCAAATTACTCACTGAATACTCTACCCAGGATCCCTCTACCAATGTAATCCGCACTGATGAATGTAATCTAAGATATGCGAAGGGAAGTCATAGTTTCGGCGACTTTGGAGAGAAGATTACATGCGCCATTTTTGAATTACTACGCACGACCTGCACATATTTTTCCTAGCATATCAACATTAAGATGAAGGCAGCTCGTTTCACTATATTAGCTATGAAGTGAATATATTTTAATCATACTTCGGTGTTTTATTGCTAAAGATAATTATATCAATGATCTTATCGCTGATCATATACATCTTGTGAGTTTTAGCAAGACCGCAAGGAATTACACGAGGGTCGGGAAAGAAACTTTTCGTTTCATACAGTGTTTCGACTTCCATTGGCAAATAATTGTGATTCAATATAAAATGCTTGCTGAAGTCGTCGGAAACAAAAATCAAGCGTTCGGTAACTGGACTCAGGATATAAAATGGGGTTACGCAGTATATACTGATTGCGGAGGTTGCCGTCGGTTTTAGGCTTAAAAATGGACTTTTTACTTTTAAAAGCCCTTGAGCTGCAGCTGTAGAATACATAACAACTCGGTATTGAAGCAGAGATGGTTGGAACACTCGAGAGTTCTTTTTAATCCACTTCATTTGATCCATTGGTTTAGCGAGCTCATAGGTTCTTCGTTTCGAGCAAATTTTGTTTGCAATGTTGTTTGTTTTCCAGGCTATCCTTTGAACTATCTACTTTAATATCCCGGAAGCATTCCAACCGCAAACAAAATATGCCAGATTAAGTCAGCCAGTTGTTGATTCTATTGCAAACAGTATTAAAGAAAAATAAACTTTCAAGTCGACCGTTTATGAACAATGATAACCTATAGTTTTACTTAGTAGTCTATTATTTGTTATACGTTGGGTATACTTCTTAAGAATAACTTATTAAGAATAAATTGAAAATGAGTGTTGCATTTATCAAATTGGTCATCGACACTTATTTATGTTATTTCAAATCTTATAATTTGCGTGTGATAATATATTTTGATCCAGCGTATTCTTATTTTGAAAGATATGGCCCGAATACATGCATAGCAACTTTCAAACGAGTGATATTTTGTATAATTTACAACAATTTTGCTACAAAAATGCAAATAATCGCATAAGAGATTTGTGATACATGGACAGGCTATTAAAATGCACATAATCGCATGGGATATATTTCATTTGAGATCAAAATGTTCTTTTTTTTTTTTAATTGAAAACATTTTCTTGTGTATAAAATATCTTTTATTATATATATATGTAAAAAATTACAATGGTTTCTTTTTTTATTTTTAAAAACTACAAATTGCTTGGATATGAAATGATGAAAGGAATCATATTGGATCGTGAAATATTTGCAATTAAAAAGTAGTATAAAAAATATAATAAATTTCTGAAAGGTGTATAACATTGAGGAGACATTACATACGTGTATATTGACGGTAGACAGAAAAAAAAAAGACTTAAAATTAATTGAATTTATATCAAAAGAAAGAAAAAAAAAAAGAAAAAACCAATCTTACATGTCTTTATCAGCATCATCGTCATGGTTAAAACATATAAGAAATATGTATTAAAAATAAATTTTGTTCTTCTTTGGCATCTCTGCCATGCTTGTATTGATAGAAACTGCAAAAATTTCCATTTAATAAAACAGCATTTGCCTTTTCTCTTTAAAACTTAAAAAGCTACGGTTGAAAGAATGCGGGTCTCACACACTTCTTCTAGGTTAATGTAATAACCTTTGTTTATCTTCTAATATTGTTTTGAAAGTGAATGAAGCAGCTTCTTTTCGGATGAGAACATATAGATAGGATAGAATCATAAAACAGGTATTGGAGATGCATTAAAACTCAACTTAAACACTTTATGATAATAAGATATGATTATGCATGAATGTGTTGGCGGTAGCGGACTTAATTACATTATAGCACATCTCTTATTCTTGGTTACAGCAATACCATCTCCGATTGGAAGAGGAGTCTCTTTAAATTGTTTATCGGACTCTTCGGTATCCAAACAGCAGGTTTTTTGTGTATTTCGGCACGTCTCCTTATCAATGTCTTCTGTTACGGTGTCTGATGTTGAAACACCGGATTCAATTTCCAATCCCAAGGTAACGTCAACGTTATCACCTTGGGTGTCTGTAATATCATTTTTGTTGGAACTTATCGGTATCGGTAAGTCCTCTTGCGTGGTTATCTCACCGGAAACGTTTTGAACTTCAATTTCATCGTTTTGAACTTCAATTTCAGTATTGAATTTCTGATGCAAATTGACTGGGGTACTGCTTTGCAACGATGCCCGTGAAAAGCGATTGCGTAACATTGTAATTGGGGAGTAGACGACACTTAAGAAATCCATACGGGCCTTTTTGGGTGGTGAAACTTCAATTTCGCTTAATCCATCAGTTGATTGCAATTTTGTAGGTGGAGGAGTGCGCTCACGTTTGCGTCCTCTACCAAAGAAGAAGAACGATGAATTATTAGCTGGCTCGGAGCCTACAGTTACGTTCAAACTGCTGCTGGTAGTATCCAATTCAGAATCAATGCGTCTGTATGATTCGCGATAATGCAGGTTACCCTGAAATTTAGATGGTGTGTAATCGGTAATGGGTCGTATACTACGTCTACCAGAAATTTGTGAAAATGGTCGAGGACGTTCAGGCAAACTGCTGAATTGCGTACTTCGCTGAGCCGTTTCCGATACGACATTGGCTTTATTACGTTTACTTGATAGAGCTTTGCCAGGAGTAGAAGTGGCAGAGGGCGATAAAGATTTCGTCTTTAGATGTTCCGGTTGTAATTTATTGGGGGAAACATCCATCACTAGAGGCTCCATTTCCGAGACATCGGCAGAGGAGGTCCCTTCCTCATCACTTGCAACCAATACTATCGTAGTCGGTTTTTCCATATTGTTGACGGTTCCCGACTTTTGTGGTGTTTTTTCTACGCCAGCTTTAGTGGATGCTGCAGTTTTTACACTTTTCGTAGTAGGCGTAGCTACTTTATGGTCTTCCTTGCTTTTCGGGGTAGAAACCATAGTAGTAGATTTGATAGATTCTTCAATTTCCATTTTCTCCTCTTTCTTCTCGAAAGTCTTTTGTTCAGCTGCATTGTCATTCGGGACGCTCTTCTCTTCAACGACAGGATCCTTTTTCTTCTCCGATCCTTTATTTTCGTGCTTTGGCGGAACAACTTCTAATTCAGCCTTAGCTTCTTCAGTTGCTTTGTCGTCTTTCAATTTCTTTTCATTTTTGTCTTTCGCTTTATTTTGCTTATCATCTTTTTCAGATTTTTCCTTTTTCTCAGGTTTCTCTGCTTTCTCTCTTTTGTCCTTTACATTACTGCTTTCATTTAATTTATTGTCATTACCATTCTGTTGCTGTTGCACCTGCTGTTGCTGTTGTTGCTGCTGCTGTTGGTGTTGATGTCTTTCTTTAACGTTTGTATTACCGCCCATTTTTGTGTTAACACCACCAACACCGTTCTGCGATTTGTCCAACCTTTTATTTGCAGATGGCTGAGTGGTCTGATCTTTTACATCCATCTTATTATTACTGATCAGTTGTTCAGTTTTTTGTTGATTTTTATCATCGGTTTTGGCATTGGCATTAGCTGGATGACCATTAGATCCGGTATTATTCGAATTTGCATTTTTACTGTTGCTGGGCGTTTTGGTGACTGCACCACTTAGAGAGAGCGGCGTACGTCGTCCCGGCTGAGAACTGGCCTTAGTTGACATAATTATTTATGCTTACAATTTCTAAAAATATAAGTTAAAAAAAAAAGCAAAGGTTAAGTCAGTTTATTTTCAATTTTTTCAAAATACTTTTCTAATAAAAATTCGTTAAATAATTGAGACGTTTTGACAAACGCCCAGAAGGAAGCATACATATATTCTTGATCAGCATTAAGTTAAGTTCTAAATCGATTTAAGTAGGCCATCTGTCCGTCATGTATTGTCTGTATTATCAGATAAATGGACAAAACTCTAGACGAATATTCTATAGATGATGCGTAGCATCTGTGACAAAAGTGGAAAAAATTTGCCCACGCCTCCTTAATATTATAGTATATTAAAGTTTAATTTCGTTTTCCGTACTTTTATAAGGCGCAGAAACAAGGTCGAAAAACCTTCTATAACATATAAATTCTCTCTCGGATTTCAAATTTGGAATGCACCTAAACATGTCCCTCTGTTCGTCTGCCTGTCTGCGCGACGATGGTGTATTTGTGGTAACCATCCCTTCGTTGGCGAAAACGGATATATCGCTTACAAATTTGCAAAAGTGTTTGAAAGGGACTTGAACTCTTCCAAGGACACGTCAAGGATTCGATCACGACTGAATGAAATTTTCTTACGTGTTAATTATAAGCGGGTTAGTGGATTGATAAAACTATATTTCACATGATGTGAGCAACACTGCATCATGAGTTACTAATCTGCTTTCAATATGTTTTCGTTCCTATGCTGTGTCATTCATACTTTTCCATTGACGGATCGAGAGCATTTTTAAAATTACTCTGCAGAATTCTGTCTTCTATCCCCCGTATAAACACTCGAACGACATGGAGACAAATTGATTTAGTAAGGTCTACAGAGCGTCTTGCATCGATCTAATTGGCTTATAGATTATAATTTGGCTTCTTGAGGCCACTGTACCTAGAAACCGATTGGTTTGCTGCTAACAATGAACAAAAGACTATCTTTTTAAGCTCATATCACTGTAAAAGAGCAAATATTCTGGATACAAGTTGATATTTTCAACGAAACACTATACATCATTATAGTGACTATACCAATTCGATGATGAAAATCTGGTCAGGAATGTGTATGTTCTTGATGGGGTCCCAAAAGCATATTTCTCTCTATATTCATTGTAGTGTCTATAATGATTCCAAAACTGAAAAATTTTTTTGTTCGTTGATATTATTCCCACTCCGATTGCTGGCGGACACACAAGCATTTCACAAACGCAATACACAAAAACAATGCGTGCAGATTTTCACTTACTTGCTTTTTATGGGCGTCTTATACCGTACTAGCACTTAAGATTAATTTCCATGATAAGAGAAAATAACAAATGTTTTTTATCTAATCACCGGCGAATACAAGTATACTAGATTTGTCCTTTCATTTGTACCATCTAAGGGTATACATTAATGGCCTACAAAAAAATCTGTCGATGCAAGATTTATAGCAATTTTAAGCATATTTGACAGTGAGAATAAATCTCTTTGGTTTAAAAGCAGCTCGTTTTACACGCAAAAGACCGTAACTGCAAGTAATGAATTTGGTATTGATTGATCGGCACATTCAATAGAGCCATGTACAAGATTCATACGGATTTGATTGATTAATAAAGTACTTTACACCTTTTATTCGTTGTTCTGTGGGGTGATTAGCATCAAAAATTCGTTCCATGACAAATATTATTCGCTCCTCTTAATTTTTTTATATTATCCACAATCGCATTGCGGTATATTGCAGTATATTATGTGAAAAACAATGCGTACACAATTATGTTTATTTCGATTATAGCATGCTTTGCAGCAGCAACTGCGCTCATCTTCAAACTTCATTTGTGCAAATTAATTCGAACAAGTACATGGCAAGACAGTGCTAATAAAAGCTAACTAAACGATAAATAGGCATGACCAAAAGTCATACAGGCTTGACGCTGTTTAAGAATACATGAGCTTTCACATAAGGCCCCTATACTGTCCATATATTTCTATACATTGCATAGAAAATCATAAATTTGATGCAACACAATTCCTTAATAGCAAATACGATAAGAAAAACCCTGTGATCCATATATGTGCTATGTTGCCATATATATATAGTACAGTGCGCAATAAAACAAAAACAAAATGATATAAAAATAACAACATTGCACTTGTTTTTCACATTGTCATGAATTTCTATATCTACACAATTTACGCTTATGCTAGGTCTTCTTTAAATTCATGTATTCCCAATAGTATATATATATGTTGGTTTTGTTGTTGTTATTATTATTGTGGCTTGCTCAGAGTGTTAAACTCGTTCATATAAAATCTTATATTCGTTATAGGCAATCGCATATACACATTTGTATAGGCAATTATCTATAAGAGCGAACGAGCGAGAGAGAGAGAGAGTAGAAAGATTTTTTTTTTTTTTGGTTTTACTACAATTTAATTTTCCAGCAAAGCTTTCTCTATATGTTTATAAACAGATAGCACGGATGTTGGAAACAAAAAAAAAAATTTGATGTGACTTTCACTTAAATTTCATACGAAGGAAAAGAAAACAAATTGAATGCTGCGCAACCTAAAAGCGTAGTAATAGTATTGCTTCTAACTTACATTATATATATGAGAAAAAAAGAGAAGGCATGCAAACAATTTAATGAGCCATGCAACAAAACAATTCAATTCTACGTTTAAGGGGAGCTTCAACACAACACATTCAGGTTTATATTTGAAACCCTATTATTACACTGCCAAGCCCTTTATGCATTTTGTTTATATAAATATAAAAATAATTTTCTTTGTGCCTAGAGAGACAGAGAAGTTCATGTACATAGGTATGCATACGTTAAACAGTAAGTTAATTCATTTCGATTTTGTCATTATATATTTTTCCATATATACATTAGACGATAAATTCATTTTCATGGAAGTGTGAAAATTGTTTCGATTTTCGAGTTTATTCATTCCATATGTTTTTCTAAAACTAATTATAAAATATTTTTCCTAGAATACTTAAATTACATACAAACATACACTAATAAAATAGTTGTTCGTAAAAATCGACCTAAGCCCGTTTTGTAATTTACTTCTTTTTTTTTTCATTACAATGTATTCATATATTCTAAATATTATATACAATTGCAGTTATATATAAAAAAAAAATAAATATAAAAGAATTTTACAGTGAAGGCCAAATAAATAAGGAAAGAATTTTCGTCTACGATTACGACTATGCTCTTCCTCTTTATATTGCGAATAATAATCTTCTCATATTCACTCTCAGAGGAATTTTAAATATTCTAACCCTCATAGCGAAGATTGGCAAATTCTTATTGTGAAGTTGTCATCGATGACAATAGTTTGCTAATTAAATATAATCAGACGAAATAACTTTTTAAAATTATGAATATTTCCTGTTTAATAATTTATTATTATTATTATTATTATTATTTTAATTTTAGACTAATGAATTGAATTCTTAGACTAAAAAAAAAGACATTGAGCACTAGCAACACAGGCTATCGGCAGTACTTTGTTCCATTTCTAATTAAGCAAGCAAGCAAGCAAGTAAGGTATATATATATAGTGTTAGGTAAAGGCAAGGTGTCATTTGTCTAATTGGTAATACCGTTTCCTCTAATTGAACCCATAAAAGCAAAGATAAGTTCTATATTTACAAATACAACTCGGCCCTTGGGCTCTAAGAAGACGATGATAGGAATTTCAACCGAATCTTGAAAATCTGCTGCTTATGGTAAATATGTGAGTAATATTTTCTTATTAAGCTATAGCAGGTCATATAAAGAATGTTTGGGCAAAGTTTTTATGACTTACTTTAAATGAATATTTGTAGGTTATAGATCACAAGTTAAATTCAAGGTGGCAAGGCAAAAGAAATCCTAAATTAATCAAAAACACACTGCAAAAAGGATGATAAAATACTTTTTTTTCCCTTCTGCTTATAGGATGTACATCAGTTAGAACTAAGCTATTAGCAGACGCATTGCTATTTAGAACCGGTTAAGGATTTTGTTTTTGCTAATTTAAATTGCATTCCTTTGATTCGTTAATAATGTGTTACCAATTTTAATGATGATAGAAGTCAGTTGTTTTAGAAGTCACTGTATAAACCAATCAACCAGGAATTACTCGTGTGCGTGCGTGTGTACATCATTTTTTTTTTCTAAAATGGCGGTCGTTGGCTTTTGTTCATGAAAAACATCAACTGAAAGCATCATTGACATCCTTATTGAAGCTTTTATGTAATCGTTTCATAATTAAATTAATCAAGGATAAATTAAGGATTCTTATTGTTATATATGTATATATAACAATTACTACCCCAACACAATAAACATATCACTTACAAGAGAGAAGAAAAAAAAAAGCGACGCTCGAGCCACCGCCAAGCATTCCAACGAAAAAAAACTATCGTTTACATAAGATTTTCATCGACAAACTACCAATTTTCTTAAATCAATTAATTGAACACCAACCTCCTTTATTAATGATCAGATTTTTATTCGAATTTGTTATTGTTATAAATAATTTTCTTTTTCAAATTTGAAATTAATTAAATTTGCGGGAGAATTTTCACAGAAAGAAAAACACACACAACTGATATGGACACACAAACACAACAAAAAGTAACGAGTTATACTATTTATGCTTGTTCTTATTCACTATTCTGACAATTCTTTCTAGTTTAATAGCAGTACGCCATCAGTTATCGTAAAATACGCAAACGAATTATTTTCAATTAATTTCTTTATGAAACTTTTCCGAATATTGCTTTCGATTAAAATTTCGATATCTTGACTCTTTGCCCAAATGTCAACTACTATAGAAAGGACAGAGTTGTTAAAGAAAAAGTGAACATCATGTGTGGTAATCTCAATTTGTAGAAATCGTTTTTTAAGAAGATTTTATTTATTAATTTAAAAAGAGAAATAACCAAAAAATTATTGCAAATTCAAGGTAAGTTTAATTAAATTACAATTATTTATATAATAAATTTTAATAGTTTGATAAAATTTCATACAATATTAAAGAATTACTTATATTTATTTCATAAATTATTATCATCTGCATATGCGTGTAATAAAACGTTGCCTTTTAATAAATGGATCCAACAACAACAACAATGAAAACACTTCTATTTACCGGTGGTGGTGGTGGCAATTGGTGGCCTGGGCGTTTGCTTTTCTGTATGTCTCATATGGTTGGCTAATAATCAAAAAGAAGAAAATATTAAAAAAAAAAGGAAAAGAAAAAACCTACGCATTTGATTTTTCAAATGAAATTTTAAAACAATTGCAACAAACAATATAAAGAAACGAGAATAAAAAAAATAAAACAAAAAGATCACATAATGGCCAACATATTGGAAAATCAATTAGTTCAAGTTCTTGAAAAACAATTAGACGAGCAATTGGACCGCTTGGACAATTTGGATACGGACGATCTGAAAGCGATACGAGAGCAACGTATCAAAGAAATGAAAGAAATGAACCAAAAGAAACAGGAATGGTTGAAAAATGTAAGTAACGTAGCCAATTCCCTATTAGCCACGTGTTTAACCAAATGACGAAAAAGGACTAAGAACTGCATTTTATTTCCATCTATGTTTTGATTCATTGCTCACAGATGAAGTTAGTCATCATTACTGAAGAAAAGGGCGTTTTTAGGTTAAATTGGGTTTTTCCGAAAAATTCTATTCAAATGTGAAATTACGATAGGCAATGAATACGATTTGCAAAATAGTTTATTAATTGAACGTGTGTTATTTATCAGGTCGGGACTACAAAAGTTTTTTAGACTTTAATAAATATTTGTATGATATAGTAAATCGATCGAGTTCCATAGGCGAATTACGTTTATACTTATTTATAACAATATTTAGGTGTATTTCATTTTTTCCCCCATTTTCTGCGAGCTCCGGCTTACGCAAAAATTGCATAGACAGTCGCACGAACATCGCACGTTGACAGCTTTCTACCACTCTACTAAAAAAAAAAAAAAAAAAAAAAAAACCTTTAAGAAATAAATTTTTTTAAAATTTTTCAGGGACATGGTACTTATAGTGAACTTGCCGATGAGAAGGAATTCTTTGAAATCTCGAAAAAGTCGCCAAATATTGTATGTCATTTTTATCGGGACACAACAGAGCGGTGCCGCATCGTTGATATGCATTTGAAAATTTTGGCTGGCAAGCATATCGAAGCGAAATTTTGCAAAGTGAATGCGGAGAAATCACCTTTTTTAACACAACGCCTGCGCATTAAAATCATACCAACAATCGTTTTAATTAAGGATAGTAAAACTAAAGATTTCGTTGTCGGTTTTACCGATCTGGGTAATTGCGATGATTTCTCAACAGATATGCTTGAATGGAGAATCGCTCAGTCGGGTGCTATCGATTATAAAGGCGATTTGATGATACCGCCCGACATGAAAAAGAAATCATTTATAAATCGTGTTCATAAAACGATACGTGGCGGTTACGATTCCGATGATTCCGATATTGATTTTGATGATTAACAGAAGAATTAAAACGGACTGATGTATACGCTGACTCTCTCTTTCCCTCTCTCTCTCACTCTCTCACCCTGAACTAATGTTTTCATTGTAGTTAATACCATCCTTTGCCTTTCAGTTGCAAGCTTGAAGTGTCTTTTATTTAAGAGCTTTTGAGTTGGATTTTTTACAAATTCTTGCTCATCTTTTTTTTTTTCCTTTTTTTTTTTCTCTCTGTATCGTGCTTAAAATCAAAATATTTTAAGGTAACATTTGTTTTCACTGCTCAATTGTTTAAAATTTTTCTTGTCATTTTAATTGTTTCGATTTAAAAAAACAAAAATCAAAGTAAAAGTATTATAAAATTTTTTTCTAAAATTTGTTATTTAGTTAAAAGAACAAAAAAAAAAGAACATCGCACAAAATTCCAAATTTTTTTTTATTATGGAACTATTTTATTCCATTAACAAGTTCTAATAATAATAAAAAAAACATAAAAAATTTATTTAAATAAAAATAAAAACATAATTTAATTTTTTTATTTTTATACTTAGATGATGAACAAAATGGAGCATAAAAAAAAAACATTAATTAACCTATTAGTTCTTTGACTTGTATAATTTATTTTTGTATTAAAATTTAATGCATTACGAATTTTTTTTATGAATATTAGAATTAATTAGGTTTAGTAATTGTATGACAATTCTAACCTAATAAGCGTAATAAAAGATTTTTATTAAAAAATACAGAAAAGTAAAATAAAAAAAATTTTATTAAAAAATTCATAAGAAATTTTTTTAAATAAGAAATTTCTATGTGCTTACAGTAGAATTAAATTGAGTGTTTGTTTAATGTTAATGTTTGTTTAATTTTTCTTCTTGAAAGTAACGCAGGACATGTAACTTTATTATATGCATAAATAGTTGCTAGTGCCGAAGGAACATAGATGCGAAGAATTAACACAAAATGTTCAAAAATATGCGAAAATCGAACGCCAATTCTCTAAAAATTGAATAAATTTAGTCAGGAGACGTTCAAGGGGAGATAAAAAATTTTGGATTAACTTAAATTAACTTAAATGTTGTCTCTTCACAAATTTTAAAAACAACTTACTTTGATTTCGCTTCGTCAAAGTCTAGCTTGTCTGTTGCTTAGCCGGGTTGTAGAAAACATTATTATTCTTTGATGTAAAAATGCGCGGGTAACAATAACATTATAGAAAGTAAAAATAAATGCTACTTTCTAATAGAAAAGTTCTTTCCAAAAATGAAATATCGTGCTGCGCATATCATCCGATTGTAATATTACATATAATATATGCACACTATCTTAATACATACTCTAATTCGGCTTAATTTCTTTTTAATTTATTTGAAGTCATGTTAGAGCTAAAAGTAGATTAATTTCTTAAAGCGCATACGAATTATGGCGAAGAAACTTTAGACTTTGCATTTTCTTTGAACTTTATCATAAACTTAGCGATTGTCTTTGCAAAATTATTTCATTTATATAGTAAAATTATTCCGAATGATGAGCCTTATTTTCCTTTGACGAAACCCGTAGCACTTATTTGCAATAAAATGTATCTTTCATATTGTGCGACTAATATATTTCTTGTATTCTAATTGGAAGAAAGGCATATTACATATTATGACGCTTTATAACAAAATAATTGAGTCAAGAATTTGAAAATGTGATCTTGGAAAGAAACCACAAATTTCGTAGCCCTGTGTAATCTGCTAGATCAAAAATTTGAACAATGCATCACTGAACCGGCCCAAGTAAGTAGCATTGAGGCAACTTTGCTTAGCTTTGATAAAAGCATGCCTTGGGTGATAATAAAAACGAGTTTAAAAGGCATGACTGGAGTAAAGGTTCTATTATAAATAAGTTATTCTGTGTTTACTTGATTACATTACTAGAGACTGAACATTTCGTTGAACTTGCGAATGATTGCTTATTTCATTAACTAGAGTAGTGTGAGGACAAAAGCTAAAAATTAATGGATATGAAAACTGCAGGAGCCTGCTTTTCACTACATAATCATAGATCCTCGAATTCTGTATTTTGTTGGATTTCGACCAACTACTTATAAAATTTAGGATTTTCAAGTGAAGCGATCTCTTTGCTACATTCTATCAAGAAAAAAGATAACTGTGCAACATATATAAAAGTCGATGTAGCGTATTGGAGAAAGCTTTGGTGTTTGGAAGTCGTCAAATAAAAGAGAAACGGTAACGGTAATTTTAATATTATGTTAACATTATGCTCCGTTCGAGAATACGACGCGTAATGAAAGCAGACGTAGCAAAAATAATTTGTATACAAATTCCAATCATCTGAGAAAATACAAATAATTGAGAATGTTTGAATAAATTTCTTTACATGTATTGTGCCGCTTTTGTGAATAGGCGTATACAATTAGCAAGAATTTTGGATGTATTGTGCCGCTTTAGAGAAAGTCTGAAAACACTAGGGCTCTTGATTTTATCGAAAATTTTACTTTCTATTTGAGATTTGAACTCACTACCATTGAATTGTTAGTCGAGATCGTTTGCCTATTCAGACGTATATTGTCATTAATAATTATAATTATTAATTAACAAAACTAAACTAAACTAGAAGAAAAAAAAGTCGTTATTAAATAAGACGTTCAAAGCCTCTACTATCCTTTATACGATATAAGCCAACAACTGTATGTGTTCTTACAGTTGAATATCTCTGTTAATTCCTATTTTGTGCCAGCGCGCTAAAATCTGGTAACTACTCTTGTAAGTGATAAGAGAATTCTAGTTATTGGCAACCCAAAGTGTAAATTAAAATGAAATTGTATTTTTCTGCGGAGCTCTTATTAGAAATAACAAATTATACAAAATAAATAGCAATAAATGATTCAAGATTATTCCTGAACTTTACTAAAAGGCGTGCTCTTTAATCATTTCCTTTATGTGAGAAGATTTTGTGAGAAAATGAAAGGAAATTTGACGTGAAATATTTAAAGAGGGAAGCCAAGCAATAAGCCGGTTTGCGCATCAGGTCAATTTTTGTTGTTGTTGTTGTTTTTTTTCTCTGTAAAAAGCTAAGGCCAAATTTATTGTTTAACCGTAGTGAAATGTGCATATATAGATGTACGGATGACTAAATAAAATGAGCTCATACTTGTAGCATTTTTTATTTTTGTAATTTCGGGAAGAGTTAGTGATTTTGTATCTGATTTGCGCATGTAAGAGAATAGAAGCGAAAAAGAATCACCTGAAAAGCAGTCAGTAAATATGTGTGTACTCATTTCCAAAACTAGTTTGAGTGAGACATTTTTCTGCTTGTGAAAAACTATTGCTGGGCAGAGAAGTATCAGGTCCAGAGGCAGTCATAAGATATATGCGTTACACTCTAAATAGTTGAATACAAGAATTGAATGCAATTACGGTGGTGGTGCGTTGTTGATGACGACAACTTTTTCATTACTATTGATATATACTATAAGCCAGATGTTTGATTAAAATTTACAAAGGGCATAAAAGATTCGTGAAAAAAGCTTTTAATTGAAATAAGTAAATATAAAAAAAACAACTTTATGTTAATTGAATGTTTGAAATAAAACAAAATAAAAAAAAAAAAAACAAAGAAATAGAAATAGAAAAGAAAAAAAAAAAAGAATTTAGTTCACACAAATCGAAACGAGAGGCCAAAATCATAAAATCAATATAAAAATATAAGAGAATAAATAATTCATATGTGAAAAATATCGAGCAGCAGTAACGTTGAATCCGCAATAAAACAAAAACCTAACGTAAAAACGTAATTAATAAAAAAAACTACTTAAGCTCTCTTCAATTTAAAGCGTACTCTGTAATCCGTTTTTATTTTTATTCGAAATACTTTATCCGTAATCGATGGATCAAAGTTCTTTACTTGTTAGTTCAACCGCAACCGGTTCTCACAGCAATCTAATGGCAGGCAGCAGTACACCTATACGTATAGGTAGCTTTCATGGGCACGGCGGCAACGAATCGCCCACCCCCAGTTCAATTGGCCTAAGTAATCAAATCTTAAGTCAACATCAACAATCAAGCAGTGTACCGACTTCCTCCGGACATTTGGGACAAAGTTTAGCCTCACTTAACATGAGTACTTCTAATAATAATAATAACAACAATACTAATAATAGTAATAACAACAGCAACAGTAATAATCAAGCAACTGCCAATATTTCCGCTGTAAACGTAATTAGCTCCGCCGGTGGAGGTTCGGTTAGCGGTTCAAGTGTTACACCACCGAACAGCGCGGGTTTACGTCAGGGCGGTAAGTTATTGTTTCTCATTCTCTATTATATTTTTGCAATGATTATTTATACATATGTGTTTAGATTAGATTTTCTGTCTAAATTTTATTTGTCTCACACTTCATTTAAAACATACATATATTTAGTAGTTTTGTTGGTGTTGTTGCCGTTGTTTACTTATTATTAATTAGAAAGTTAATTTACTTCTTACACTGTTTCGTAATATTTCGATCATAGCAAACATCTACTTAGCGGAAATTTAATCCCAATGCGTAAGGGGCAAAGAAAAGACAAGTGAGTTGTGCACAAAGCGAACCGATTAAGTGCTAATGATTTCATAAAGTTTACACATCCCAGCCAATTTTCGTCTGTTAATTTGCTGAATAACAGAAGAAGAAGAATATTTCATAAATTGTTGCATAATATTCAATTGCCATCCAATAGATTATAAGTTAATGCTTTATGTAAGATTATTGCGATTCAGTCTGGCTGTCACTTTGGCGCTGCTCTCCATCTAACAATATAGTGTAGTAGAAGCGCCCGCAAAAGACAAAAACATTTTAATTTTGTCATCCGTAGTACATATGCTAAAATCGTTAGATTATGTAAACCTTCATAAAGTGAAAATGGTCCCGAAAAACTTACAGGGTAGGCAAGCTTAGATCGATCAAGGATCCAAAAGTAAAAATGTTCCTCCATTAATAGGTATAATAAAAGCTGGGCCTATCTCAACTCCTTCTCAGTATTGAATATATCCATATAATAACCTAATACGCTCTTATATATATACAGTGGTATACGGCATAAAAAGGAAGCCAAGAAAGAACTTTATAGTCGAGGCGGTCGACCATTAATTACCCTACACCAGATTGTCTGCCGCAATAAGTATATTTGTATGAAATAACTGTTATGGATAAATTTTTCTCCCCACATATTAAAACCTAGACTTCTCTGTTCTACAAAGGATCAATTTTAGTGAAGGTCGTTATTGGGTAGGATCCAAAAATAGGCACAGTTCAATTTTTTATGTTATTTTTTGAATGGAAATTATATCTTTTTGTCGTACAAACTTTAGCTTTTGTTATATGATAGGGGGTTCAAAGATTGCTCCAGCTCGTTCACAATTTTCCTACCATTTTAGAATACCGGAAAACTACTACTTAGCCATTTTTTCCGAGAAATTTTGAAAATTTATATGGGGCGTGGTCGTAAAAGTGGACCGATAGCGTTCGTCCTTCGGTCAAAACACGTCATTGTAGCAAATTCCAAGCAAAATATGTCAACGACGGACAGACGGACAGACAGGCTTAGATCAATTCGTATTATGATTCTGGATCGGTATAATAAAAGGTGCATCTATACTAAAGACTTCCCCTTGCTACATATGTCCGCATTAACTTAAGCGAAAAATTTTCAATTGAATTAATGCGAAGTGAATTTAAAGATAATTTCCGCAAATTCTAGACTTTTAGTGAAACGAGTTCTATTAATTAAAATTAAAAGAATTCTAAAAACAATTATTTTAATCATAATATAAAGGGAATTTATTGCTAAAGAAACCACTTTACCGTTAAAGGGCTAACAGCTTTCGTATAATCTTGACCAATTGCTATATAAATGCACGTTTACACTATGCTTTTACATTTGGAAAATTTCTCTTTTGTATGGGGGCCACATACGCATGTATACATAGATAGATAGATAGATTTTTATTTGTTGTTTTATAATTTTAGTTTAATCTTCTGGTTATGCTTGAAATGCCAGTTAATAAAAAGTTTAATTGCCTTTACCGACCGGAAAACGATGTATCGTTGTTTTGTCAAAACAAATTACCACAAAAGTGCAAAACGAAACCATAGTAATACGAAACAAGCGACTTATTGTACATTACATGTGAATCTAGCATGGAACGAATTTTACTTAACCTCAAGTTTGATTTAAATTTTACTTACGCTCATCAAGTGTTCCTCTGAACGAGAATTTATTAACTAAATCTTAACGAAATCGGATTAATGCAATATATAAAAATACTTTTCCAAATGTGGAGTATTTAGGGAGTGTTCTGTCACTTGGGCGACCTAAAATACGCAGCTATGCCCAAAGTGGAAAACTTAAGATAAGCAGCTACAATTGCATATTCATAGAGGCTTGAAAACTGAAATAGAAGACAAAAAAAAAGAGAAGGAATTTTTTTGACCAAATTATTTTAATCAGAGTTGTCCGTATACTTGCCGAGAGCCCTTGAGAGTAATTGTAGCTTCTATAAGCTTTTTTACATTTATTACTTTCGTTTGTGCTTGAAGACGAAACCCTTTATAGATGATTGCCAGTTGCCAGTACGAGTGTATTCGTTAAATAATTTTGTGAATTATCCGTGTAATAGTTTCATTAGTACTCTTCGTTTTTCATTCATTTGATTATTTGGAATATGGAAAAAAGAACATCGTCCAATAAGTTCTGGAACAAAATAAGAAATTTTTTTGCAAAATTTATTGAATTTATTCTTCAACAGAAACGAAGCTCTCTTAACACGGTGACACGGTCAATGTAACGTTACTCTAGTAAAAGAAAGTTCCACATTATATGTATATATATATATATATATATATATAGATGTTAACATAGCCAGCTTTAAGAATGATAAAATTAGTTCCAACATAAGTAAGTTCGACTTTATTCAGCAATGTACTTTGCTTAAGCAGCGATACCATGAATCTAACGCTTCCCTAACATGGAACAATGTGTCAAGATCCTCAACATAGGCTTCACTTTCATCAGTTTGATTCACATCTTCTTCAAATTTATGAAAGGATAATAATCGTTAAGGGTCAGGTCTAGACTAAGCGAGGTACTCATTGGGCAAATAACTCTCTTCAGTTCACATCTTTCATGCAACATAGTGAATGCAATGACCCTTGATATCGTTAACATGTCAAATATCTATTGCAAATCTAATTTTTTTAATAGAGACGTGTCAGCATTTATTGTGGTACAGGGCATATTAAGTGAGTGCGGACTTATGTAACTCGCAGGAGGGCTTAAGAGAGACCTACCTTTTGTTATTATAGTGATCGATTCGAAATCACAATTTGAATAGATCTTAGCCTGTGTTTTCGTTTATCCGTCTGTCCGTCCGATGTCTGTCCATGTAAAATACAGATCCTAATTTTTGTGATATTGTGATAAAATTTGGTACAGAGATGGCTGTTGACTCAACGGCGAACGCTATTAAAAATGGTTTGCATCGATTCACTTTTCCTTATATTTCGGACTTCTAAATTGGTATGAAATCTTTGGACCGGCTGACGCAACTCTTGAATGCCCTCTCATATAACAGAAAAAGGCGTGTACAAGGAAAAGGTATAATTTTCAATGCTTCATGATGAAAATTATATCGTAATAGTAATTTTACATAAGAAAATTATTTGTACAAAGTCCGGACCATCTTGACCTAATTTTTGGATCCTACCTTATGTAAGGAAAATTTATTTATAGGGCAGAAAAGTCGAAATTGAAAATGTTACGACGAAACTTAATAGTAAAGTGACATAACAGTGAAGTGACATAAAAAATGATATAAAAAGTGATTCAATTTTTGAACTTCTTTGGCACAACCATTCTTACGGTATGCAAGACGTATTTGCAAAAAGGTCTAATTTTTAATACACAGTCCCATGGTAGTATGATCCTATAAAGGCAGGGTAGAATATGCTCTATGGCAAAAATAAGGGTAGAGTATTTAATAGTCGGTCTGGTCCGATTAAAATATTTTTACTTGTCTTTCATTTGCAAAAATGTAGAAGAAAGCATGTCACAAATTCGCAAAAACCGAGTGGCGCATGGCCAGAGAATGTCGTGAACAAAGTAGCATAAGAGGAGATCGCCATGGGATCGTTGTAGATCCTCTTATTAGTCGCTACTGGTCAAAAAAACATGTCTCTCATGGACTCTGTGCGATTGTTGATGACTGATGAAAAAATTCACACATAATCTGCTTCACTAGCCTTCTATAAAGCCAAAACCCAAGGTACTTAAAAAAATGAGTCCAAATTGCTTGGTTAAAAAGCTTATATCCGTGACAAGGCACGATCTACTTTTCATGGCAAAAACACAGAAACAACTTAAGCGAAAAAGCTATAAATTTTATATATTTTCTGCAACTTGTGCAGAAATGTTTATTAAGATGCTTTAAAAATCCAATAGGAATAGATTTTGGCGGCTTGGTTCTCGTATTTGGTTGTAAGTAATGAAAGACTTGGCATTGTGACATGTACAAGATGCATCCTTAGGCAAATGCAATTTTCTTAAAACGACTTCAAAACTGTATTTCATACATTAATCTACTTTTGCTTTAACTACTTTGTATCGTGTTTTCTATTTCTATGTCGTTTATTTTTGTTCTTCTTATTATCATGATTGTGATGATGATGATGATGATGATGATGATGATGATGAAAATGATAATGATGACGATGATGGTGACAAGAATCTGACATTTTGCAACAAATTGAGCTTGATAAATTAGACAAGAAAGAAAGAAAGAAAGAGAGAGGGTGACAAAGAGAGGGAGACAGAGAGAGAGAGAGAGAGGGAGAGAGAGAGAGAAAAAAAAAAAAAAACCAAAATAAACATATATAACAACAAGCACATACCGAGCAGTTTACAAAAGACCTGTATATGTGTTACTTGTTATGCTTCTACGAACATTTATACATATATTAATTAAGAATCTCAACCCTTACTGCATACAGCAGTCCTTCTTGTTGACGCTGTAGCCACATTAACACAAAGTATTGTCATTGCCGTCATCGTCGTAGCAGGTCTCCGCTCACTACCGCCAACTCAAAGTAAACTTATTTTCTTATTTCGTTTGTGACGGACACGAAACCGTTTATAATGAAAGAATTTTATAAGGTTTATGTATATATATATATACATGGTCCATTGCTTTTAATCGGTAACGTAAGCAAAAAGGAAAATAAACTCGACCTAATGATAATTCATAGCATATAGTAGGATA